TTCTGAATAGAAATGATTAATTCAGAGGACACCTTACACTGTATTATGTGCCATAATCTACACAGATAAAAACAACGTATTCTTCCTTTTCAATAAGAGACCAGGGGTTTTTTTCCTCAAGAAGCCTCAGACAGCACACTGGTTCTGTGTGAATAGTCATGGACAAACAGTTAATTCTGCCCTGGTTATTTTTCCTGTCATAGATGTGCTTATTTTTAGCTATCATGTGATCCGGTATTTTCCAGCACCGGTTTAGTCATCCTACTCTCTGAGAACACTTCAAAGCAAAAAACATAACAGGCTTCAGACTGAGGAATCTTCTGCAATTTAGCTTAATAGAATTAGTTATTTAGATACTAAACTGTTCTTTATTCATACATTTCTGAAATTCCCCATTCGGCCTCCAACACTGCGATCTATTGAGATTTGTACATATATTCAGAAATACTTGCATCCAACATTAAGCAGAAGCCCTAGAAGCCTCATTAGAATATCCAGTCAGGTGAAGCTTTCTATAGGAGAATTAGAAATCCTGCAAACACAGCCCCAAAATTTTAATCCCTTGCAATAATTTTGACCCTACCCCTACAGATAGTTTACAATGGCTGTGGGGTAAAGCAGAGGTTATTAGAGAACAACTAAATGCTCATAGCAATACTGAGCTGGCAGATGGCACTATAACAGTAATGGATGCTCCTGGCTGAAAGCCCATAATGGTGACTGTGCTTATGGTACCACTCCTTACATAGAAAAACCTATACATTTGTTCCCCTAATAGTCTGGAATATTTACCCAAATCCAAGACAACTTTGAATATAAAACGACTCACCAATAATGAGATTCTATACATGGGAAAATATTTATGCAGGCACGGGGGGACAAAGAGTTGTGGGGGGGAGGCAGGACGCAGGTTCCCTTTGTTACCTTGCACTTCTTCAGCTGTGAGCCCCCTCTCCTATCTAGCAATCCATTCCAACCCAGGGCAGGCAGCTGCTCAGCTCCAGCTTCAGTCCTGAGCCCAGGACAAAACCAGAGCTAAGCTGACACTTGTCCCGGGTCAGTACTCGAATCCAAGATGAGGCTTTTTTATCTCCGTGCAGTTGGGGACGGTGGGGGGGGGTGAAAACCTCATCTTGGATTTGAGTAAATATGGTATGTGGCAAACTGGGGCTCTAGAGTACTGTTACTTTAAGGAGTCTGAAAGATGCAATTATCAAACTTCCTCCACCACCCCTAACATATTGGTTCTATAGCAAATCGGCTCTGCCTCCCAAGGCAGAGACAAGGCAATCTGAGGTAGCACAGAAGATTAGTCCCAAAGACTATTTATGTTGCAATTTCTGAGCTGTATTACCTGTGACCTGCATTGACACTTCAGAGTGATCACTCTCCGAAGCAGTAAGAAAAAAATTCTTGAAACACTTCTAATGAAACCACACAAAATTAATACATGTTTTCATAGTCCTCTTAATGCTTAATTTTTTTATTTATTTTTTACAAATAAATGTAGGTTTTAAATGAAGGATAGGGACCAAACCTAGCATTTGTACAAATTTGGATAAACAGAAACAGTAAACAAATGCTAAGTGACATGGGGCTGCAAGCATTTGGCATCAGATTAAGATACTGAAAATATTTTTAAGTTACTACAGCTACCTCATAGGGATAATTTTGAAGGTAGCCTTTAGGGATTTAGATATTTAAATTTTGATATGGAGAGTAAGAGCTAAATCTTTTTTAATTTCTAAAAATGCATATCATATAACTAGGAAAGAGTTATAAATTAGTCTGGAATATTAGTATTACTATAGCTTTATTCTCTGCCATATAAATAGTCTGCACATATATTATACACATGTGGACTTATAGTTAAGTATATTCACATTTATTTTGGGATTATTTTACTACGTTAACATAGATTTAGAAGGAAACAAAAGTTTAAAAAAAAAAAAAGAAATAAAAGTTAGTGTCTATCTGCATACCCGTTTTTTACATTCTAAATCATAACATTCCAGAAGGTACCTTCTATCCTGCATCCAGAGAAGAGTTCTTGTGTACTTATCTATGTTCTCGTACTACCTGTAAGTCTAATTTGCACTACTATTACCTGAATATGGGACATGCAAAGAATTTCAGATGCCTGCTATAAAATTAAAATAAGTTTTGCATGTATGGTAGTTACTGTCACTTGTAAAGACAGTTAATCTTGTAAATGCTGTTTTTGCTGGTACACATATTAAAGACATAATTTCTAATAAAACAGTTGAAGGTTTGATCAATGAAACCTTTGCACATCTGGAATAGGTTTGATTCTATAGAAGAACAAGAGAAGATTAATTGTATAGTTCTGCATTTTGTTAAAAACCTCATATTAATAACTTCAAAGCTATTTCTAAACTCTTAGAACAGCCTATGACTTTTCCAAAATATACCTTTTGCACTGAAATTTTTCATGCTTAGTTTTAGACTAAAACTGAATTTTGCTTTGCAAATTCTGCAATTTTTTCAAGCACTCAATTTATCAGCATGAAGATACTTATTACTGCACTAGGGTTTTTAACTTTGATAAATAAAACGATTTGGGTGTTAAAGTTCAGACTTGGCACTGAAGCAGGAAAGTCCTCATTAGAAAAACATGCATTTTCCTAAATCTGAAAATAAAACATATCATCAAGAAATGCAGTCCTAAATGTACATGTATAGCGCTCAGAATTATCTTAACTACGCTCACTTTGAAGTCAATGGGAATTTTACCATCAACTTTAATGGGAATTAAGTTAAACTAATGCTGATTGCATTTGAAAACCTGTCGTAAAATTCTTTGAATGCCGTTGAAAAAAGTAGATCCATGCATATTCCCACAAGCAGAGTTGCATCTTCAAGTCAATCTGAATATTATCTTAATCAAAGTAGTAATTTAACTGCACAAACATCCTGAACACGCCTACATCAAAAGAAAAGGACACAGCAAGACAAAAGGACTCAGCAGCTCTTGTAATCAAGAGAAAAGGACCCAGCAGCTTTTGTAGTCAATTTGCTAGGCCCTCGTATCTGCAATTTTAACCCCAAAATATGCAAAAAAAGTTAGGTGAACAAGCAATTTAGGAATTGACCATTCAAAAAAAAAGTGCTGACACTGATTTTACTGTACGTCAATTCTTTCCTTTTGTGCTAATGAAATTGTAGAGAGAGATAAACGTGACCTTTTTAAAAATCATGAAATATGTTTTTGAGCATTTCTGTAATTGTGGTACTAGAAATGTTCTAGGAACCTCAAGGGTGCCCAAGAAATTCAGTTACATTTTCCACAACAACTGTAATTTTGCCACACATACTGCACGTGGAGTAAACAACTACAAACAGCTTAATCCTATTAATCTTACTCTTACAGCAGTTCAATTAAATCAATAAAATATTCACATGAGTAAGTCAGATAGGATTTAATCCTACTTGAATAACATGGCAATTTAAACTTGTTATGGGGATCACAATACATTTCCTTTATTTTCACTGCATTTAAGAGCTGTGCATTAATATATATGTATATACAGTACATGCATATTAAAGATGTGTATATGCATAATCTGATTTTTTAGGATTACTGGCTTGATTTATAGAAAGTTCCTGCATACTTACCAACTTGCTTCCTAATCCCCTTACACAGTTTTATTCAGATAAAAGGTCAAAACAGAGCAATTGCACGAGACCTACCCCTACACGTGCTCTATTGTTAAATGCGAGCATACACATCGAATAGGAGACTTTATTCCTTTAGAAAGTGCAGTTTGCCTGGTTGGCATGCTCATTCTCTGATACAGGTTTGGGTTGAACCATGCTAAGGAAGGAACACTTAAAGCAGCCAGGCCCCAAATGAACACTGAGAGATCACACATGCGCGCGCGCACACATCGCCCCCCCCACACCCCTATTTAATTGTGTATATATATACACATTTGTATTAGTGCATAGATCTTCCCCAATTTTCATTGCCTTTAAAATGTATTATGATCCATTTAGCAACTGTAAATTGTCATAAACAACTAGGACTAAATCCTACCTGTATTAGTCATGTGAATACTATTTTATAGGTTATAAGAACTTCATGTTATTGTTAACTGCCATGGGAAAAAAACAGGAAAAAGCATGTCTGGATTTTATAGGCTGCCTGAACATTGCTTTGAAGCTGGTTGGGAAGGACATCTGATCACACCTGAAAACTAGGAATTCAAATTGGGATTAAAGCCAAAAATGCAGCATTTTCTTCCTCAGGGTGGGGAAGGGTGGTATTTTAAAGCAGTCTCTGCTGCCCTTCTCTTCTTAGTTAAATCAAAGTGATAAAAAGTGGCATTTATTTTTGTGACCATGTTGTCTACGGATAGGATGGAATCTGAGCTTTGATGCTTATTCCTATTGTAGACAGATGCCAAGTAGTAATAAACATCAATGATAGTTTGAAAGTTATAACACATTACTTATATGTTGCCCACTCAGAAGATTACTGAGTTTGAATGATCAGCACATTTAAAAATAAAAATCAATTTATTTTCTGCTTTTTGGCTAGCACTTAGGACCTGGAAGTGTTCCAGTTATCATAAAACCAGGCTATGTTAGCAATTTCCTGTAAGAATGAGTGGAAGGTGGAAGGGGGGGAGCGCTCTCTATTTAATAAATTCTTAGGTAGTTTATCTTACGCAGTAGCAAGAGAGTCCACAGACCATCACCTCACCATTTGGTACCATTGGGCTTTATTATGGGAAATTCCATAGTCTGGAAAGATAATGCATCAGACCAAAGAAACTAACCAAATTAATACCCATCAAAAATCAATTTATGTAATCTAGGAGGCCAAAGCCAGGGTAGCGCAAAATGCCAACATAAAAAGGGTGGTTTGGACTCGTTACAACAACATTAATGGACTCATTTATATGAGCTATGGATAGCTTATCTCAATATTATGCCATCACCACTAAGGAAACTGAATTCTCCAAAATATACAATACCTGCAGTGGGTGAGTTTGCATGGTGAGATTTTTTTGGCAAGTTAAAGATCTGTTCACCAGGATCTGGAGGGGGAAGAGCATCTTGGCCTTGTCGAGCCTCCACAGGATCATACTCTTTCCCATCATAGTTGGCATCGAAGAACTTCTTAAACCACTGGATAAAATCTAAGTTGTCTTGGAAACGTCCTTTAACCAGTTTCTCTACTGGAATTACCTGTAGATACAATGGTAAAAAATTCCAGTAATATTTCATTGCCAGGACATACACTTGCCTCTGCCTAACCACACAAGAAGACTGTGTTAACTACACCTTCAACCCAACGTCTACTGAAACAGTAACTTCAGAAGCTACGATGGGAGTTCCAACTAGACCATATTTGTGTTAGAATGAGTAACACTGAGATTTTAACCTTATAATTTTTTCCTTCCATACACACTATATATAGAACAGTTTGTTTACATGCGAGAGTTTGGGAAACTGTCTGAAGTCTTAACATGCCAAACCAGAGTCTGTGAGAAACTCATTTGTGTCGTTATTTGAAAATTCTTTACCAAAATGAGACATTCAATAAAAATGATTAGGTGCCAATACTGCAGTATAATGACAGGGTTTGATACTGCTCCATGGCAGACCAGAAATTAGTTGCCATTCCCAGAGTCTGTGGGCAGATAACGGTTATAAAGGGAATGCCACCTTGGCTTGCTTAACATTTCATACTGTCGATTAAAGGGTCAAGCTGAGTGGATCAGAAGTGAATTCCATCTTCATTTGGAAAAAAAAAAAAGAGTGGTCACAGCTTTGAAAGAGGGATGGAAATAACAAGGCTGAAACCAAATGCACAGTATTTTAAAGATTTAAGAAAGTCTGTAGGACAGGGTTCATGTGACATTTCATACATTAGCCCCTTGATCTTTTCCACTTATATTTTAATGCTGTAGTGACATACTACAACTCTTTTTTTTCGTAGAGAAATTAGAAGAGTAAACCTCATTAGGATCTTCAACACTTCACTGATAGAATCTATTTTAAAAAGAAACACCTGCAGTGCTTGGGGAATAATGACATGTTTGAATTGCAGCATCCTAGAACAGAAAGGTGCATTCAACAGTTGGTGCAAGAACAATTCAGAACAGATATTAAAAATGAGGTCAGGAAGCTTTTTCCAGACAAATTTAAAATATGGATATTTTACATGTACAGAACATAAAGCATGATTGTGTACTTTGAACTTAAATCACTTTAATTCAGTTTTAGTTTCTTCTTTTGCTACTACTTATAAAACTTAAATTTCATAACCTTCTAGATAACAAAGACCATTCAGTAATTCCAGCATCAAGGTCATACCTTACAGTTGAACTAGAGTGTATTTCTTTAGAAAGATCTCCAACCTTGTCTTAAAGTATTCTAACAATGCTACATCCATAGTACACAATTCCAATGGTTTACTATTTACAGCTCTTCATAACTGACTTGTAATAGTATTTATTCCTGTGGTAGATACAGACTATTCATCAGTTTTCTGGACAGGAAATTCTTGGCATCAGACAGTTAAATTCACTACCCATGACACCGAGTTTTTCCCTCACAACACAACTATCCTAGCGTTGATTCACAACTATACATTACAGTCCAGTAGACAGTATTTTACCATAAGGCCCCATACCTAAACCAGTGCTTCCCAAACTTTTCCTCAGCATGACCCCATTTCCTCAGCATGGCCCTTCGCTCCCAACCCACAGCCCCCCACCCACCAA